GGTTATGTCCAGCAGCTCCGCCTGAAAATCATGAATGCAGAAAACATTCAACTTCAGTTCGTAAACATTGGACATTTCCAGACAGGTGACGACTATATTCAAGAGGTGGAACAGAAGTATACAAGAAAGAAATGATACCTTTTCAGCTTTGCAAGCGTCCAATATCATCCGAAGATGGCGTTTAGCATTGAAGTGAAACCCATGGTGTAACATCCTTTTGTATACGTACTCGAAATCATCCCACCTCTTTTCTGCAACGCAGGCGTCTAACAAGGTGTTGAAAGTGTAGCTATCTGGTATTATCCGAACCTTATAATCGGATCTGCTCGTGATATTATTCCCATCATCTAACATCCTCAGGAACAGATCTATCGCTTTTTCAAACATTCCGTGGTCCAAGTAAGCTTTCAGCATTATGTTGCAAGTAACAAGATTCGGGGAGCAAATGTTCTCCATTTGTTTGAAAACATAGGCCGCATTTTCAACACTTCCGGCATCCAAACAAGCTTGAATTAGACCAGTGTAAGTCACTACTAGAGGCTTACTTGCAACCTTACATATCTTCTCAATCTGTGAAGAGAAGGAATAATGGAACAAGTGACCCAACTGTATAATGCATGCTAAAGTGCCAAGCCAAATAATACAAAAATGCAAAACTGGGAATGAATTTTCGCTGATGTAATGAAATAGACAGCTAAATTACCTGCATTAGTGCTTCCTGGCACCTTCCAGCACTACAAAGACATCGAGCAAAGTCATAATAGAGAGCCGCATAACCTACTATTCCTCGTCTTTCCATGTTGTGAATAACCGATACAGCCTCATCTACTTTACCTTCTCTCCAAAGAGTGTTCACAATAACTGCATTCATAAGGAACCATCAATATTACCCATCTACAACAAAACACGAGGTGAGACAATAGTCCAGTAAAATACCTCGGTAAGTTAAAGCATTTGGTATAGAAGATTTCTGCACTTTCTTGAAAAACTCATGAACCAAGTTGTACTTGCCACATGCTAGCATCACCTGATTCAGTGAAAACGGATTCAGGTATGCATAATTTGAAAGAGATATTCAGGGTGATTTAGCATCCTAGTACCAGGCTCATAAATCCTATAAAATCAAACAGATTGGCCCCAAATGTTAAATGATTCATGAATAAGCCTAGATTGGCCCAAAATGTTAAATGATTCATGAATAAGCCTAGATTGGCCCAAAAAGTTGCACGTAAGGAGCTCCAGAGCGAGGACAGGCAGAAAACTATATAAAAAGGAGTGAGGGGCTATACTTAAATTTACTTAATTCAACAAGGTTATACCCTGTTTCATTGAAAGCTGACAATCAAACAGAATATCTACATAAGTACGTAAAACAACCAGCACACACATGAAAAACTAAATTCATTAACACCGACGTCATGACAAAAGAAAATACTTGGGAACAACTAGTAAAGGTTAGGGAGATAGTCAATGGACAGGAAGAAAGAAACCAGGGTGACTTATACCTCCATAACAAGTCCATATGTTGTTGTGGCAGGCTGTAGGCCTTGTTGCTTCAACTGCTGCAAAACCCAAAATGCTCCTTCCCATTGTTTGCGCTGAACACAGGCATTTAATACCTGCACATACAATTCATTACACCCATATATATAGAACTGCACTCATGTTTGCATCAATTATCACCAACTACTACTTACCGCATGAAAGACAACAATATCTGGTTCCAGTCGAGGATCCCACTTCCCAAGTGCCCCGGTTTTGAACTTCTTCTTAGGAGGAGATCGCATAGTATCAATCACATCAAAAAGTTCCCTCATATGTCCTGCTTGTCCAAGAGTTACAGCAATAGAATGATAAGCTACCAAGTCGGGATACGAGGACATTTGTTCCTGGACAGAAAACAAAAAGAAAAGATAACATTGGTTGGTCAAAGTATTCTTCTTCCTTTAACTACAATCGTGTTTTATGAACACAAAGCATACTGCAGAAAATAACAATTTGCACGACTTACCAGCATTGCATGAAATACATTAAGTGCTTCCACAGGCCTCCTTGCCTTTCCAAGTACATCAAGTGCAGTTGTGAATATGTATCTGAATTTCAAAAAGGGGAAATGCTTCATATTGTTCTCAGATACAACGATTAGTGACAACAATCTTACATAGTTGTTCAACAAGATATTTAATAGTCATGTGAAGGCCAAGACAGTAACAAAGAAAGCAGTAACAACTAACAAGAACCATTTGATTTCTACTTTCTTCAAAAACTATTCTTTTGTACCCAGACATTGCAAGTGCAACACGTGAAAATTAGTCACTATGCATGATAGATGATTTGCACCACATATTAGAAATAGTTTTGGTAAGATCTACACTCCTTCAAGTTCCATCCACTAATCGTGACAATTTCTTAAGAGAAACTGTTGCAGCACTACAGATTCAAGCCCATTGAAATGCTGAAATGCTGAAAGGGAGTCTAAAGCCCCATGAGATTTGCCATACTTTCCTAAGCAGGAGTGTATGCCAAGCTTCAAACTTAATGCTCTAATATTTTCTTACGGAAAAATACCTGAGCTTGTGGGATTTGAAACGTTCACGCATTTGAAGCCACTCAATGACTTGTAGCACCCGTCTCCAGTTTCCTAGTTTTCCCAATAGCTGGATAACTCTCAATATTGAATGATCTGTGAATCTGATTTGTGCACTTCGCATCATCCTTGAAAACATCCACTCAGGCATGTCAATGTCTGCACCATTCAGCCTGTTAAAATAATTACTTAACATTAATGAGATCATGAGAATCCATAACTACAATATATTAACACTTCATATGAGATATTTAATTTGGCAAATCAAAAAAGGGAAATAGAGAAAAATACAGGAAATGACAAGCAAAACCTATCAAACTGTCAACGACGATCTTTTTTTTTTTAGGACATGACTGTCCCCTTCCCAATCCCAAGTAGTTCTAACGGGAAAGAAACACTGTATAAACTCACATGATAGTTCTGCAACCCAGATTACAGGCGGAATTAAGTATAGTCACCCCTAGACTATAACTACACAACTACCATGTTGCATAAACTCCTGCTTGGAAACAGCCTTATTAATTAGTTTTACCGAGAGGATTGATGAAGTAACAAACTACAGAAACTTTGCGGAAAACATAATACAATTGCTGTAAAAGGCCAAACTTAGCTTGGCTTGCATGATGCTCTATAAAACACATGATAATATAGCCAGCATACATACTGAACAACTCACTAATAGGCCATACCCCATACATTTAAACCATTTTGTCCGCTGAAGTACGAGAAATAGTAAACGCTGAAAATCAATAATGTCAGTCTTTTTTTTTTTTTCTTCTAAATATAAAAGAGTAACACTAATTTGTCATCAATTGTAAACTCAATTCATCAATCTAAAAGGTAATTCTTCCAATATAAGAAGAGGAAAAAGGCACAGAGCGCATACCACTTTGCTAGCTTCTGGATTCTCTGCTCCATTTCCATTTGTGAAACTCGTGGCTTGTCCATAATATCACCGAATTCATCAAAATTCCGAAATGCTGCTCTTTCCACCTCCAAGCTTTTTTCATTAAATCTTTTAGGGAAATCCCTACCACTCTTAGTTACACTTCTTGGAACAAAACCTCTATCAGTGGCTTTATCAGCATTGCTGTGGTTCCTTTCAACTCCATCTTCATTTCTAACACCAAACTTCCCTCTTTCAACGGCTTCATCCCTTGACTGGTAAACTCTTGGGCCATCTCTCGCATTTCGTGCCATTGAACTTTTACCTTTGAAGTCTACTTCCTGTTCTAGCCGACCAGGTAACTCCCGGGCCATCTTTTGCATTTCGTACTGTTGTACTTTTACCTTTGAAGTCCAATCCTGGTTCTACCCTACCAGTATATTTTGACCATCTTCCATCTCTTGTCTCTCCCCTTATCATCTTCTTATCCTTTTCATCTTGTTGTTCTGTCTGCTATCGTATTCATCCTTAAATCCCTTAACTCGTTGACGTTCATGCGTGCTTCCATTTCTATTTCCAAGCAACTCATACCGATTCTCAACTTTTGACGCCTTCTCTCGATTCAAATTCCCTTCAGGCTCCCCCAGTTTTGCTTCCTCTTCACTACCCTCAGACAACAGTCTCCTGGAAACACCTCTACTCCGCACACTATGCTTCGGATTCTCTTCTTTCGATCTCTGCTGCTTATCTCTATCACTTCTAAGCCTAACAGTCCCCATAACCTTCAAGTACTGATCAAATGACGGCTTAAATTCGAATTCCTTCTCTAAAATTTCAGACCCTTCCTTCGACACAGCACTAATAACAGTTCTGGAATTCACGAACTTAATACCGAAAACCCGATTCCTCTTCACATTCTTCTCATTTAATCCAATACCGAAAATGGGTCTCCGGAAAATCGAAAACCCAGATAAAGGTAGCGACTTTGGGCAACAATTCGTAGCAAAAACCCCATTCCTCTGAAAACTGGAGACACCCGGTTGAGCGTTGGCCATAACCATCACCTCCATTTCTCAATTCATCCAACAAATTTCACATAGCGTCGTTTAAAGTTTGAGACTTTCCTTCTCACGTGCTGAGCTACTGAGTGAAACAATATAGGAAATACAGAGAGAGAGAGAGGAATTAAATTACAGAGACGATGAACTACGAACTTAAAATTCAAGCAGCAGAAGAGCTCGAAGCAGAAATGGCTACCATGAAAGCAGTCCAAGTTTTTGGGGAAGAAGCTCTTCAATTGTTGTTCGAGATATATCCTTGAAAACCCGGGAATATCAACGAATATTGGAAGAAAAGAAGAATATTGGGCCGGGTATTGGCCCAAAAAGTTATACAGGCCCGCATTTGTATTTGTAGAAAGTGAATCACCCCCTAGAAGTGGGGTCTCCCGGCACAGAATACGACCGTTGGCACGTAGCTCTTGAACCCGGAGAGAGCATTCAAATTTCAAAAATTCAAAAGTTGGGACAAATAGAGAAAGAAAGCTGCCACTTTTCTCTCTCGCATAGCTCTCAGCTGGTCTTGGAATAGGAGCTTTCAACTGTTCAAGCTTTTATATCTTCCTTTTGGTCCCAAAGATTTGAATGTAATCATCACCCCATTTCATCACTTCAACTAGATTTAGGTTGTTTTTTTGGAGCATCCCATGTTTCAATTGAGTGCCAATTTTTAGACGTTTTCTGTAAAAATTGTGTTTTTTCACGATGAGAGAAGAGAACCCATCAGAAACCAGAGCAAGATCGATCAAATTTTCCGACCAAAACCAGATTCCGAAATGTTCGAATGTGAAGGGCAGCAGCAATTCTTCGAGATTGAGGTCTGCTTCCTCATGGGGTTCTCACATTGTGAAAGGGCTGGCAGGGGACAAGAAGGCCAAGGCGCAGCCCACAGTCACCAGCAAGAAACCACCACTAACAGGGTACGATTTAGCAAACCAGAAGATCCCTTTTGCGCCAGCTCAGCCACGCGTCAAGCGCTCGCTGATTGGCGATTTGGCGTGCTCTGTGAATGCTAATCAGGTTGGGAGATTTTGAAAAGTAGCTAATTTTAGAGTCATGAATTGAATTTTAGCCAAAGTTTCTAACTTCTTACGATTCTAACCAAAATCCCAGATAAAAAGTCTTAATTACCCTTAGCAATCCATATCCTTTCCGTTCGGAGTTGTAGGCGACAGTATTATTTAGCCTGATTTCTGTGTAGGCCACCCGGAAAACAGTCTTGGCTCCGACTTTGGCCTCTTAGCACTTTATCATCTTCGAAGTTGATAATTGGAGACTACTTAACTAAGCAGGCACATGTATGCCATTGAATAGAAAGAACATGAATGAATGGTACCCAGCACTACCTTTCGTGTTTGGTTTGCAAGAAAATTAAGAAATTTTGAAGGAGATTTCATAAGCCTCCATTATTTGGAATTTTATATGATCATGTCTGTATATGTGTGAGTGTGTTACTTGCAGTTTGGATTCAGGGTTTCCTTTTTTGAGTTTTGTGATGGGTTCTGCATTGTGAAGTGACAGGGAAGAGTGCCTTGTTTAAAATTGGACTTTATGTGTGTTCCTGTGACTTCTTGTTTGGATACAAGGTTTTCCTTTTCTGGGTTTTGTGTTGCTTGACTTGTTTGGATACAAGGTTTCCTTTTATGGGTTTTGTGTTGGGTTGTGTAATGTGAAGTGATAGAACAATGTTTTCTCTAAATTTGGGGAATTTCTATTATTACGGGTAACTAAGACCTTTTGCTTGAGTTTTTTGGTTAAAATTATAAGAAGTTAGTAAGTGTGGTTAAAATTCAATTCATGCCTCTAAAATTGTCTATTTTTCAAAATTTTCCAATCAGGTTCATCCTCAGATGCATCCGACCCACCGGAGGCAGTCGTCACGAGATTTGTTTATTGAGCTTGATCACTTGAGGAACTTGCTTCGGGAGTCTAAGGAAAGGGAGTTTCAGTTGCAAGCTGAGTTGTCGGAGTGTAAGCGAAACCCCAGGGTCTTGGAGCTTGAGAGGGAACTTGAGGTGAAAAGGCGGGAGCTTGATGGTCTGGCTCGGAAAGCTGAGCTGCTGGAAGAAGAGAAAACTAGTCTCTCCGATCAGTTGACATCAATTTTGGAGAGGAGTGAAGTGATTTTGAAAAGAGAAGATCATGAAACCTCAGTGGCATCAGCATCGGGGAGTGCGGAAATGGAGGTTTTAGAGTTGAGGCGCCTGAACAAGGAGTTGCAGCTTCAGAAGAGAAATCTTGCTAGCAAATTTTCTTCTGCAACATCCCAGTTGGCTTCTCTGGCAAAGGCTTCTGAGGTACAATCAACTTCCTTGGTTACTTAAATTTGGCATCGGAAGCTCAAAGCTGACCTTAAATTTGTCTTCTATGTTTGAGAATGCTTCTGGTTTATGTGACTTGGTTGTCCTGGTTTAGCTTTGTTTGCTTACTGAAACTTGTTATATTGGTTATCATCAGAGTGACATTGTTGAGAAGATTAAAGCTGAGGCGTCTGTGCTAAGGCATACAAACGAAGAATTGTGCAAACAAGTTGAAGGTTTACAAACGAGTAGGTTGAATGAGGTTGAGGAGCTAGCATACTTGAGGTGGGTGAATTCATGTTTACGAAACGAGTTGCAGCACTCATCCTCCACCACAAATTCTGATAACACATTAAGTCCCACTTCGATTGAGAGGAGTAGAAAATCTGATGGAGCACTTTCATTTAGAAGCAGCAAGTACTTAGAATACAGTGGTGGAAAGCGATTGAACCTTATGAAGAAACCAAAGAACTGGCCAATTGCTGATGAGGATTTGCCTAACTTAGAAAGCTCAGACGAGGAAGCAGGAAGTCCCAAAAGAAGACACTCAATAAGCGGATCAAGATTCTTTGCAGAAGACTTGGTGCAGACGAATAAGAGAAGGCAGTCTGATGGTTTTACGTGTGTCCAAGAAATGGAGAAGCATACAGAGACTGTAACCTCTCAAGAATATGATTTGGGAATCCTTCACGGATCACAGTTCTTTGGAAATTGTCACGAAATTAATAAACTTCCATCTTGCTTAGATGTTGAGAAAAGGGCCTTGAGAATTCCAAACCCCCCTCCAAGGCCTTCATCTTCCATTTCTAGTGCAACCAAAGTGGATCGTTCAGCACAAGTTCCACCACCGCCTCCACTTCCCCCACCGCCTCCTCCTAAGTTTGCAGCGAAGACTAGTCCCACAGGAGCTGTACAAAGAGCCCCACAAGTAGTTGAGTTTTATCATTCACTGATGAAGAGAGAGTCTAGGAAAGATTCTTCAAATGGAGGAGCTCCTGATGGCCCAGATGTTGCAAATGTTCGTAGTAGCATGATCGGAGAAATTGAGAACCGATCATCACATTTGCTTGCTGTAAGTGATCACTTGCCCCGTTATTTATAATTTGGCTGCTTGAAGTTCATTTCTTCTAAGTTATAGTTTCTTTTGAAGTCATAGGCTTTCTAGCAGACTAGACTACTGCAAATTCTTATTGAATGAAACCGCCATTTGCTTTGCAGATAAAGGCAGATGTGGAGACTCAAGGAGAATTCGTGAATTCGTTGATAAGAGAGGTGAACAATGCAGCTTATCAAAACATTGAAGATGTTGTGGCATTTGTGAAGTGGCTCGATGACGAACTTTCCTTTCTTGTAAGTTTGATCTTTCTAACGACCAGAAAAACCATGTTTATAATTTTGTGTGCAATATTTCAGTCTTCACCTACAGTGATGTAATGGTTGATTTGTTTCAAATGGAACTGGGAAGCCATGCCGATTTCTTACTGTTAAGCTTACTTTCTGTTGAAAGGTGGATGAGAGGGCAGTACTAAAGCACTTTGATTGGCCAGAAAAGAAAGCTGACACACTGCGCGAAGCAGCATTCAGCTACAGAGATCTCAAGAAACTGGAGTTTGAAGTGTCTTCTTACAAGGATGATAACAGACTGGCTTGTGACATTGCACTAAAGAAAATGGTTTCCTTGTCTGAGAAGTAAGAAATTACGTGGCTAATTTCTTAGAATGTTCAATCCTTTGCCTACTAGTTAAACTTACTTACCAAGGGTTTCCTTACCTCTCACAGGATGGAGCGTACAGTTTATAACCTTTTCCGGACAAGGGAGTCATTGATGCGTAATTGCAGGGACTTCAAAATCTCCACAGACTGGATGCTTGACAATGGAATTTTAAGCAAGGTAGACTTTGATATTCTTTATGAACGACTAGTGGTCAGCTTTGTGTATCGCATATCTAATTTGATGCTGATCTTGCAGATAAAGTTTGGCTCAGTCAAGTTGGCAAAGATGTACATGACGAGGGTGGCTATGGAACTTCAGTTGAAGGCAGCAGCGGAGAAAGATCCTGCAATGGATTACATGCTGCTTCAGGGAGTGAGATTTGCTTTCAGAGTTCATCAGGTTAGTAGAACAAAAAAGATGCGAAATTATTTGTGCTTTTTTGTCCATTCAAAATGCAGAAGATTGAGATATATTTCTTGCTTGATATGCAGTTTGCAGGGGGATTCGATGCAGACACAATGCACGCGTTTGAGGAACTTCGCTACCTTGCTCATCTTCTCAACAAAAAGTAACGAGGCAAAGGTGGAAGGCTATATGGAACATTTTTCGCTTACCATCTCAGTAAGCTTCATACAGGAAAATGTATACGTTCTGTAGTAAGCATTTCGGGCAAGACAGCACAATTCGGCTGTAGTTTATGTGAAAAAAAAAAAAATGTATACATTAGGTTCTTCTGCAACGACTTCTTGCAAGTTGTACGATAAGAATTATACAACTTCTTCAGAGTTTCATACTCATCTCTGAACAAAATCTTCCTCATGTGCTGGGAGTCCTTACTGTTATATCGAGATTGTGGGGAAGTTGGCTCAAGTGTGATGGTGGTGGATGTGACAAAACGGCTACATAGCGGTTGTATTGCAGCGGCCTCGGTGATAGAGAGACGTGCAATCTGCTGGATATCATCGGTGTGGTGACAGTGACAGGGTGAAGGTGTAGGTAGCAACTAAGACATTTGAGTAGTAGCAGTAGCAATGAGCTGAGGTCATCGATGAACCCGAGCAGAGCAGTAGAAACAGGGATGACAAAGAAGGAAGAAGCACAAGGTCTCATATCCATTGGAATGAAAGACAATAAAAACAGATGAAACCAATTGCAATTGCACCCTTCAAATCGCGCAAACATTTAATCAAGGACATCAAAACCTTTATGAATCGAGTAAAAAGTAAACTAATTTGCTTCGCCAGTACTCGGAGCTCATTTTCATTATAATTCTTGTAGTTCACATATCGGTTTTGCAGTATATTGTGACAAATTTGTAGATTCTCACACAAAAACAGTTCCTGCAACTGTAAAGTCTCAAGTAAATCAACATTTGAAGGCCTAGCCGTCATCCTATGGGATCCAAGTCCCTAATCGTCACGTCTGACATTCTCCACATTGTAGTTAGTTGTCAAATTGAACCAAAAACGAAGTGTACACTGCAGAAGCGAACAAGTCAAAGTTAAACATCTGTGATGCCACTCCAAATCCGTACTGTTTTCTCACAGCACAACAAGAAAAATCGACTTTCCTAATCAGAGTTTATCGGCAACAAAAGAATCACTGTTTGACCAGTATACATTGCTAACATTAGGAAATAGAACAATCACTGCACACTATTTTATCTGTTTTGACAAATAAAAGCAATGCCTAAAGGTTCGCTGGATGATACAGGCAAATTGGTTGAGTTACATCTTTCGTTACTTACTAACCATTTGAACTATTTAACTTTTGTCCCCCTTGTTCATTTTCTGTGCTACTTATGCATCATCTATGGTCAAAGCCGAAACAAAACAAGCCCAAAATTTCTGGCTTAATATAAGTCTAATGCCTCACAGGACTGCCTGGTATCGATACAAAAGACAGTTAAAGCACTAGGGATGGGGGCTATATGAACTCATAGACGGCCTAGTATCAAGGTTAGTGCAAATCGCATCATACTAGACACACGCATTAGGCATAGAAATCTAATGCCTCAAAGGACTGCCTGGTATCAGAACAAAATTATCCCGACCTTGACTGTTGGAGCACTAGGCACGCTTACGAACTCATAGACGCTCTAGTATCAGGGTAAATGCGATCACATCAAACTAGACACATGCAGTAAGGCAGAGAAGTCTAACGCCTTTGCTCACTCAGTCCTTCACTGATACAAATCGTAGGGATTGCAAACTGATAAGCCTTCAGTCAAGACACAACAACAGCAATGCAGCTCAAAAAGCTGCCCACATCCTCTTGTTTCCGTCAGTCACGACTAAAATTCCCCTGCTTCCCAACTCCCACACCTCACATCTGACCCCAGAAGCTCCTACACACATTTTCGCATCAATAGAAGGAAGGCCGAATACAGAGTGGTGCCAAATGATAGCCAAATTGTGTTCACGGTGAAAACAGTTTTCAAGAAAATTACAAATGAGTTTCCAACCATTATTCGCCACAGATTTTTCTTAGAAGACTACAATATGCTTTATCATTGGTTGAATCGTGTTGATATACTGGCAAGTAATGCTATATATTGACATATATATATATATATATAAAAACATTAGTGTTTGTGTCATTCAACAATTTCTAATCATCTTATCACATTTGTTTGTTAAATTACAAGATGTGGTGGGTCATGTGAAGGGAATGCAACGCTTAGAACCAAAACAGGTCAATGAAAAAGTTGTGCACAGATGTGACATCGTTGTTGAAAATCTGAGGTAATTTTTTTCATTTACTTTTCATTCTACCCACTGCATAAAAAATTAAAATACCATCTAATAATTGTATGTTGTTTGATAATTATATAATCATTTTAACAATGACTCCATATTTTGTTAGCCAAATTAAAAAAAAAAATCTTTAAATTGAGTGCTAAAATTCTTTTTCGAATTGCAGTTAGAAGAGGCAAAATTTACACTTTGGGGAAATGTTGCAAAGAACTTTTCTTCTCTGTCGCTAGAAGCTTTGTTGCTGCGGGTTAGTGCTGTTTTTACAAGTTTGGAAGTGAAGTTGTACCGGGGTATTTAATATCAAAAAATAATAATCAGTTTTACATCATTCTCTAATAAATTTATTATACAGTTTGTCTTAAATGTTGCCATTTAATTTAATTTGAATATTGTTATTCTTTCTATTTGGGTTAGTATTTGAATAGTGGGCTTGAATGAGGAGGAGCTCAAAGATGCCAGAATAAATAAAGATTTGCCCGAAGCCCAGCGTCGAGCCCAGAAACAAGCTGAAGCCTTCTCAGCCAAGACAAAAGCCATGTGTCCATAATGGAAGTGACAAGTGATGGAGACCAACCTACTATCAGCCAAAAGGGACTTTCTAGTGGCATTACAAGTAAAAAACTGATGACTCACTATCTTTCCAGTGCTTTCGGGTAAGAGCAAAAACTACAACAATCAGGCCAAATTGCCTATAAAAGGGAAGATAGGCCCCAGAGACAAGGACACTAAACCAATCAAACAAACAAACATACAAACTTTGCTCTCAAGCCAGTTCGTACCCTTCAAGCTGAAATCAACCAAGATTCAGTCCTTTTAGCAATAGTTCCCTTAGAAAAACTATCTTTTGTCTAGTATAAAAACTCTGCTACCATTCCCAATGTTGTAGTATCGATCCTCTTGTGTAAACTTGTTTACCATCCATCATTTTTAGTCTACAGCCTCTGTAAAATCAAAGAAAAGTGGCTGCAAGAAGTTCAACCTTGTCAGACAAGGTGAAATCTTGCCTGAGGCTCTTAGTTTGTCATCTAAATTAGTAGATCTATTGCTTAATGCATTTTTCAGTATATATTCAAGTCATTTCCACCTGTTTTCTATTTTAAGAGTCCCATTTGCATCTGGATCTGGTTAACTTAATGGATATATTTTCACTAAGAGCAACTTGGAACCAAACAAATGACTTAAAAGGCTCTGGACTCCCTCCATTCGAACATACAAGATTATGAACTAAAAGTCCTTGTTTACAAGGCAAGAAAAAGAACTTAATACAGACTTAGCTCATCCATGACAATCCTTTGATAACAAGAAGTTTGAGTAACTTGGAACGCAAGTAATCAACTTAAAACACGCTTGTTATACATGTGCTATACTGAGATAGCAGTGGCACGCCTAAGCATTTAGTTAGTTTTGATTGCGAGCCTCAAGGCCTACACCTAAGGCCCCACAAAGGCATATTTCAGAACTAACTTCAAGCTCTTATTGCAGCACACAAGACAAGCAAGAGCCCAACTACCAAACATATACATCCAAAGTGCCAATCTCTTGGAAGCTGTGCTAAGGTCCAGACACCTTCTTTAGAAAAATCTTTGCCTGCACACTTTCATTACATAGATACACATGCATTGTTAATTACAACATTTGCTTATACATTCATCTGTTATCATACGAACTAATAAATTATCATTGTGACATCCCACATCGTCCAGGGGAGTGATCCTTAAATGTATATTCCCATCCGTACCTAGCACGAGGCTTTTTGGGAGCTCACTAGCTTCGGGTTTCGTAGGAACTTTGAAGTTAAGCGAGAAGGGGGCTAGAGCAATCCCATGATGGGTGACCCACTGGGAAGTTGCTTGTGAGTTCCCAAAAACAAAACCGTGAGGGAATGGTAAGCTCAAAGCGGACAATATCGTGCTACGGTGGTGGAACGGGCTCGGGAAGTGATCCACCCTGGGCCGAGATGTGACAATATGGTATCAGAGCCAATCCCTGGCCGCGTGTGTGCCGACGAGGACGTTGGGCCCCTAAGGGGGGTGGATTGTGACATCCCACATCGCCCAGGCGAGTGATCCTTAAATGTATATTTCCATCTGTACCTAGCATAAGGCCTTTTTGGAGCTCACTGGCTTCGGGTTCCGTAGGAACTTCGAAGTTAAGCGAGAAGGGGGCTAGAGCAATCCCATGATGGGTGACCCACTGGGAAGTTGCTCGTGAGTTCCCAAAAACAAAACCATGAGGGAATAGTAAGCCCAAAGCGGACAATATCGTGCTACGGTGGAGTAGAGCTCAGGTTGTGGTGGGGCCCGGGATGTGACAATCATTCTCTTTTTGTGCTACTTTTTAAAAATTTGTAAAAACTAACTCAATTTGAAATACATTGAGGTACTTAAATTGTATTGATAAATTTTTATTTTTGTTAATTGTTGGTTTTCACTTTATTCATTGTTTTCTTCATAGGCAGACAATGTTATCTTAAACAACATTGGTTCCTCACTTTTCTTCATTGACCCAGACATTACAGAAATAAACTCATACAAATCAGTGTGAGCATATTTAATAATGTTAAAACAAATTGAATCTTTGTTTAATATTTTTGGAATGCAAAAATTTTTGTTTCTGCAATATCATCGAGATAAAATTGCATATTAAATGTTGCAGGTTTTCCAGTCGGCAGATTCTCTCAGAATATTGCCCTCATCTTCGAACCAAGCAAATGAAGCCGAAATCTTGCAGACCGCGAAAAAAATGACAATTGATCAGTTGGCTTTTTTGGATCCAGATTTACACAGGGTATACAAACTAATTACATGTTATTTTCTTTGGCTAAAATTTTGTCATTGGATTCTCGCATTTTTAACAAAACATATGTATCATGAACATTGCTGATGCAAATCTTGGTTAAAATATTTTCTAGGATGATACATTTTTGTGTGAAGCATCTGTGAAACGTTTTGACACAAGGCATGACTGGTGGTACAGTGCTTGCCCAACCTGTGTCAAGCAAATGCATAAGGATCCAACTGGACAGTTAACTTGTCACAAACACCCAAATCAAATTCCAACTCCTTGGTATTTTCCTTTTTGTCTTAAAATAATTATTTGGTTATTAATAGTTTTGCTAATCCCTCACCTCTGAACTATATGTATAGCAAATTTAGCACTTCACTTACTATGTAGAAAACATATATTTCCATTTAGCTCTATTTGTAATATCTTTTTGATTAAATAAATCTATTATGAATAACTGTTTTTGTTCATCAACTGCATTATCAATTTTTCTTGCCGTTGTAAACTGAATTACAACATCTAACTTTCATTTTTAAACATACGTACAAGGTACCCTTGGTTCTTCAGGATGAAACTAATGAAATCAGTGCTTTAATAACTAATCCCTCACCTGTGAAATATATATATATATATAGCAAATTTACCATTTCACTTACTATGTACAAAACATATATTTCCATTTAGCTCAATCAATGATATCTTTCTGATTAAATAAATCAACTATGAATAATGTTTATGTTCATCAACTGCATTATCAATTTTTCTTGCTGTTATAAATTGAATTACAGCAACTAACTTGCATTTATATACATAGGTACAAGGTAAACTTGGTTCTTCAGGATGAAACTGATGAAACCGGTGCTTTAATAATTGGTAAATGCGGGGAAAAATTATTTAGTGCAAGCCGCAAAAATTTGGTCTTCAATCAGAGATTAGCGGATCAACAGCAATTGTCAAATGAATTTTTAAGACTGATAGGGCAGAAAAAAAAATTTCACCTCCGATTCAGCAGCCTAAAAAATTACATGAACTTCAATGATCTTCTCATCCACAATGTCTCTAAAGATGTGTCCATGCAACCAGCAGCTCCGCAGACTCTTTTCAAACAAGTATCAATGCCTTCCACTACATTATCATCATCTACCTCTACCCCAGATACAAGTGCCCAATCATATAAAAGAAAGAGGGAATCAGTCAGTAGACCGCTTTTTTTCGATGCCAAAAAAGGTAATACATTAGTGAACAACTATCTTTGCCGTGTTTAAATTAATTTTTTATTTTTTATTAGGCATCCCTATTTTTCAACGTTTGCTCTGTTTTTAAAACAGTGATATGGAAGAAATTTCGGAAGCCAGTGGCCAAGATTTTGATGAAATTCCTATCAAGTTATTGAAAAGATCTTCTCCAACTGGTTAAGGAAAAAACACCTCTCCACCAAAAAAATATTGGGTGACCATCCGTCTTATATTATATTTTCCAGATTATAATTTTATTCTTGCATCATTCTATCATTCGTTTTTATGTTTTACTTTTTTTTTTTTCCTTTCCCTGGATTGCTTTCTCAACAGTCAAGAAGGTTGATGCAAATGCTTCATGTTTTGCTGAAGAGAAACAAGACAGTTATTATGGATTTTAATAAATCCACAGACAATGTTTCTTTATATTTTTTTGCCAACTGAACAGTACAACATGGTCTAAATGCCTTAATATTTTTTTGGCATGTAAATAGCACAATGTTGCCAATATATTTTGAATGTAAATAGCACACAACCCTGTAATATTTTATGTGCAACTGTTGCAGGCAGTGCAAAGCTAGAAACCACTGAATTGAAATGTCTACCTGCAATATTTTTTGCATGTAAATAGTAGGATACCAGCAGCTATTAACCCAGAATCCATGTCCTATGTTGCAGTCCTCTTTTCTAAATAGATGACAATGAATTTTAAAAGTTTTTTTTTACGCATTCTATGCGTTGAACAATCTTTCAAACATTTCTAGTATAAACAGTATTAGTTTTCTCTCAAATCATTTTTACGTTGTTTGAACAAAACATTTGACACAATTTTAAAACTCGCAATAACGCGCGGCTAATGCGTTCTAGTATATACAGAAAGAGAAAAGGGGCTACTGTTAATTCTACAGTGGTCTTCCATTTTTTCCCCCTTCAGCTGCTCTCAAGTCAGGTTTTTTTTTTATATTGCACAGTAAGATGACGATTATTTCCCTGGTGTCCACTAGAAATCTCTCAACTTTTCTGCTTTCTGTCGACCAAGCAAATCCCTGCTTCTCGAACGCTATCACTCGCAGCGGAACCACCGCCACCGCCACGCCGCTGCGGCGTCAAATTATGGGCCTCTAATGGCGTCGTTTTCTAAAATCCTCTGTACTCAAGGTAAGTTATTCTAGGTTTTAGTACCATATTCAGATCATCCCCAATTTCGAAATTTTAGGGAATTGATTCGTTTTCGTGTTGCATGTTTAACATTCATCTGGGTGATGGTGGTTTGACGGGTGTACGAACTGGAATTGCTGATGGTAGGCTTGAATTTGGCCAAATTTGGGTTAGAATCGTAAAACTCTAATCCTAATTTTGTCCTCCTTCGAATTTAAGAGCGAAACTTGATGTATGTATACTCTTTTTTTTTTGTTGTGAATAATGCAAATTAAGTGTCTTTGGAGGTATTATGGGTATACTGTCCGAATTGGGATTTTTAAAGTTTATCAAGAAATTTGATCTGGGATTCTGAATTTTTTTTACAACTCAGTAATTTGTGGAGTTATTCTTACGTTTTATCTAGAAATTGATCTAGGTTCATATATTTGTGATTGACATTGTTTTTTTAGTATTTTTTTTCCGTCACTAACACAGCCATGGTTTTAATTTGCATCAAGTTTCAGCATTTTGTTCTAATTTTTGCAAGTTATTTGGTACAACTATTCATATTCTGAACACAAATGCTAAGAGTCTCAAGAGCAATGAAGTTGTTGTTGAAAATAGTAAGTCGATATTACTGAAACAGGCATAAGCACCTCTACTGTTGTCTCGAAGCTGGATGGCGAAGATGGACGGATTGTGTTCAAGGCTCAGGTTCATTATTTCCTTTTGATTTTACTGATCAAAGTTGTTATGTTATTCACTGCTGGACTTTTGTAATAATTATGTGTTCCTAATCCTAAAGTTGCCCCTATTTCTGTCTCATAGTTGTGATTTTGCTGGGAAAGGCTGAAGAAGTTAAGGAGACCGCAGTTCGTGTGGCTGCAGCGTGAAGGCATATATGATTCAGCAGAGTTTGAGTTGAAACTTGGATGATGAGTAGTAGCTGGGTAATTCAATAGCATAATAAGGATGTGTATATGAGAGACAGATTTATCACTTTGCTTCCTAATGCATGTTTTCTTACATGCCCTTTGATATAAATAATAAGGTTTTTTGCAGCTCACATCTTTCTCTCTCTCTCAGCGCACACACTCACACAGAAACTACCACATTATTAGAAAAGCTGAAGAAACACTAGAATTTAGCGAGTCTGAATCGTTGAGGTTGACATTTAGGGTTCTGGGTCTGCTTCAAATTTCAAATTTTATCCCCATATTTTAGTGTCATGTACGGTTTGTGTTGCGCTAAAAGCATGATTGTTTATGTTGGAGTGGTTTAAGGGAATGTCCAACTGAGTTGGGCAGTTTTTGTTCATTCTGTGAAGGTGAGCGTCTTTGGAGGTATTGTGGGTATATTGTCCGAATTGGGGTTTTTAAAGTTGAAATTTAATCTGGATTCTGAATTTTTTTTACAATTTAGTAATTTGTGGAGTTATTCTTAGTTTTTATCAAAAAATTTGATCTAGGTTTCATATATTTTGTGAAATTATATATATATTGTTGTGGTAGTTCAGGTAATTTATGCGTTTGAAAAGCTCGAGAGTTGAATGTGACAAAGTAAGCAGATCAACATGCAAACCTGAAACCAAAAAGCTCAAACCTCGACAATTCGATGGTTAGCCCTGTTTTCAAATTTTGTTTGCTTCAGTTAATTTTGTGTAAATTAATTAATAACATATTAGAGCGAAACCCTATTGGTTATTGTGGTTTTTTTTATTTTTTATTATAGGTAATAACATGTATTTTCTCTTCTTTGCATTTAGCAGTAATCAACCTTAGTTATGCGACTCAAAATCTGGGGCAGCTTCTGGACCTTATTCTCAGGAAGGTAACATTTTTATTTCTTTTCCTTATCATTTGATTGGGTTTTGGATTTACGATTTCAATTTGGTGCCATTAAGCTATCACCCTTGGACCCTAGAATTCAGGTAACCCCATGATTTTAATATTCCTTTTTCTGTTTTATGTAATTATTGTTCTATGAATTGTATTTTTCGGTTAAATAATGATTAATTAGAATGTCTAGGGAAAAAACTCGGGCATTGCAGCGTTTGGAGTGAACACAATGGAACAATGGAATCAATTTTCATTTTCCAAAGACCGGCTCCAACTTTGTTGATGAATTTCGTTCTCAATTTTAATCGGCTATCTACTTGAATCCATTTCCAAGCTTAATTAGTTCATGCAATTAGCGCTCTTTCATGTTTAAATATACTAAATACTTTAGTTTTGAAATTTTGTGTTGAATATCAAGATAGAGACCTTTCTCTAGAACACCATCTGTCTATTTATGCATTTGTTATCTAACTTTATGTTATTCCTTTCATTGTTCTGATCTTTAGCAAGAGCATCCTATAACAAATCCAATTGTCATTTGTTCACATTAACTTCTAAGAAAGGAGGAGGAACAAAGTGAAGGAACAAACCCATTAGATTCAGGAAATTCAACACTACTCATTGTTTCTTATTGTGGATAGGGTTGTAAATAGATTTTCACATGTAAACAAGTAGTATTACTTATCATATATACTTAAAACATTTACATGTTTATGTAGTTTCAAAACCTGCAGCATTGTGCGGGCACACTTGCTAGTATAAACTAAAGAAAATGACAAGAGTACCAAATTAATCCATTACATGTGTAGCATATTGACTTTGAAACGAAAAAATTAACGTGATTAGGAAGATAGACACAACGAGATATACAACTAGTTACAGGGAATATTATCGCCTGCCAAAGATGCTCTCGTTGATACTTTCTACCATTTGTATATTAAAGTCAAATGCGAAAGAGTGCTGCAATCAGACATTTAAGTTTCCTTTGAGCTGAGGGAACTGGATGACCACATATTAATTCGGATATTTTCTACTAGATGAACAATCTTAATTGTCATAGTGAAATATCTGGCTACGACTTTCCCAGTTTCACACTGGAGAACAATTTGTCTTCCCACGCACCCGACTATTCAACAATGACTACTATTCAACAATATTGAAGGAACTCGAAAATGATTGGTTGCTTGCAGGAAAAGGTATCAATGTTTATTTCAATAAGGTGTTCAAATGACAGACAAACATTTAATTGAAAGTACATAGACGGACGATTGAAACCTTCAATATTCAGTGCTTTCCCATGAAGTTTATGAAAAATCCGTCAAAAGCTTCAACTAAGATGTGCTTGCTTCTTTTCTACTCTTCTTTGCTGCTCATCGTCGCAGCAGTATTCTCCACAGCTGATGACGCCATGAGTACATTTCAATCCATTAGAGAAGGTGAGACTGTAGTTTCAAATGGCGGTACGTTTGAGCTAGGATTTTTCAGTCCTGATGCTTCTAATAGACGGTACGTGGGGATATAGTACAAGATATCTGTGACAACCATAGTATGGGTTGCCAACAGAGACACGCCACTCACTGATAAGTCCGGCATTCTGAAGGTCACCAATCCCGGAATTCTTGTCCTCAACCACAAATGAGCACAGTCTGGTCCTCCAATACATCAAGAACCGCACAGAGTCCAGTGGCACGTCTTTTGGATTCGGGTAATCTTGTCGTGGCAGATAGAAGTGATGATGACCCTGGGAACTTTCTGTGGCAAAGTTTTGATTACCCTGTTGATACATTCTTACCAGGTTCGAAGATTGGTAGGAACACAGTTACAGGCTTCAATTGGCAGCTTAGATCGTGGAAAAGTCCTCAGGATCCTTCTCAAGGCAATTGTACATTTCAACTTGGTCCCAAGGATATGCAGAAATATTTGTGAGGGAAGGTTCGGTCATTAAATTTCGGTCTGGACCATGGAATGGACTCCGGTTGAGTGGAACGCCTCAGTTAAATCCAAACCCTATATACACATACGATCTTGTTTTTGAACATGATGAAATGTACTTGAGTTACAAGCTTCACAACAACTCAATCCTTACGAGGGTGGTTATAACCTCAGATGGAGTGCACATCTACACATGGATTGATAGAATCAAAGGCTGGGTTCCTTACCTAACAGCCCAAACTGATACTGTGACAACTATGCATTATGTGGTGTACATGGTGCATGTGACATGGAAAAGTCCCCGGTTTGTAGCTGTTTAAAAGGATTTACACCAAGGTTTCCGAAAGAATGGGATATGTTAGATTGGTATAATGGCTGTGTGAGAAAGACTCCTCTAAATTGCACCGGAGATGTGTTCCAAAAGTACTCGGGGGTGAAGTTGCCTAGCACAGAACAATCCTGGCTTAACAGAAGTATGAACCTCAAGGAATGTGAGATGGTGTGCATGAAGACTTGCTCCTGCACAGCTTATACAAATTTAGATAGTTCGGAATGGAGGAAGCGGGTGCTTGCTGTGGTACGGCGATCTAATTGATATAAGATACTTTGCTGAGAACGGGCAAGATATTTATATAAGAATGGCTGCATCGGAACTAGGTATGCAAAAAACACCTGTTGGTGAATATGCATTTATTTATTCATGACCAAATGCTTGAAACAAAGTCAAGACATAATGAAGTGAAACGTTGTATTGTTTCCAACAGTTTAAACCTTGAATTTTGACACAATTAGCAATATCTTCTTTTAGAATTGTCTCACAAACTAGCAAGTATTAGTTGGATGATAGGCATTATACAGTTTTTATTTTTTTATTTATTACTCTCCGACTCATAGATTTTCTGTTTTCAAAAATATCATTCGTAGATCATGAATACTCTGAATCCAATGTAAAGAAAATGAGAATCATAATAAGCACTACTGTATTGTCTACCGGACTGCTGATCCTAGGCCTTGCCCTGCTGTTTTATGTTTGGAAGAAGCAGCACCAAAAAGGTGGTAAGTTGGCTGTACTATTCTTCCCCTCTACAGTTCAGTTGTATAGGGAATTTTTTTTTTCACCCCTTGTTACTGCGTCTTTGCAGGAAAATTGGGACGTAGCCAAGAGGAGGATATGGAATTACCGTTATTTGACTTGATGACTGTAGTTTCTGCAACCAGTAACTTTTCAATTGAAAACAAACTTGGTGAAGGCGGTTTCGGATCTGTATTTAAGGTAAAACCAGGTAGTCCTTAACTGTTACCATGTTGCATAGATATGTAGTTCTGGTCATAATATGGAATGATGGACATAAGCTGATGGATTTTAGGGTACGATGAAAGACGGACAAGAAATAGCAGTGAAAAAGTTTTCAAAAAGTTCTAGACAAGGACTCAACGAGTTCAAGAATGAAGTTAAACTTATTGCCAAACTTCAGCATAGGAATCTAGTGAAGCTTCTTGGATGTTTCATTCAAGAAGACGAGATGATACTGATCTACGAGTTCATGCCTAACAAGAGCTTAGACTTCTTTATTTTTGGTTTGACCGCTCAAAAACCTTAAACTTTGGTTCCATCAATTCGCTTATGCTAGCATGATGAATTTTTTGACAATTATGAACTACGATATTTTGCAGATCAAAGAAAAAGGATGTTGTTAGACTGGCCGAAGTGCTTTGAAATTATTAATGGGATAGCTCGAGGGCTCCTCTATCTTCATCAAGATTCTAGATTGAGAGTTATTCATAGAGATCTCAAAGCAAGTAACATTTTATTAGGCAGTGAATTTAACCCAAAAATCTCAGATTTCGGCCTGGCTAGAAGCTTTGGAGGAAATGAAACGAAAGCAGAAACGAAGAAAGTGGTCGGAACATAGTAAGTATCCTAAAACACAATTGTATGATTGCTTTTTAAGAATTTTCGAAAACACTAATAGAAAGTCTAGATTCTTTGTGTATAAAAACGTTTTTTGACACATTAGTTTGCAGCGGTTACATGTCCCCAGAATATGCAATTGATGGTTTCTACTCAATAAAGTCCGACGTCTACAGCTTTGGTGTTCTGGTGTTAGAGATAGTGAGTGGGAGCAGAAATAGAGGATTCTCTCATCCAAACCACAAACTTAACCTTCTTGGACATGTGAGTGTGACAACATCAAATGTCAAGTTAAAATTTCTTATCGCTCGATTCCGCTACTTCTACTAAGTAGACTAGTTTTCGTGTTTTAGGCATGGATGCTACACATAGAAGGCAGGCCTCTCGAACTACTTGATACAACAGTAAAGGACTCCGCTCTGCTTGAAGTTGTAAGAACAATTCATATGGGTCTTTTGTGCGTGCAGCAAAATCCAGAAGACAGGCCAAGTATGTCAGCTGCAGTTCTAATGTTGAGTGGTGAAGGTGCATTGCCTCAACCTCTAAAACCTGGTTTTTACAATGAAAGGGATTTGACTGACCTTGAAGCTGGTCGTTCTTCTAAAGTATGCTCGGCTAATGAAGTCACTACTTCACTACTCGAGGCTAGATAAAATATTAGGAAATGATTTCCGCACACCTATCTCTCATTATTGTATCTTTTGATTTTCCTACAACTTCTTCAAGGCAAGAAATAAATTATGTGGCGTAACTTATATTTCGTGTTGGTGCATATATATTCTTAGAATTGAACACAAATATGAGAGATTCCAAGCCTCTTATTTATGTTTTCTTTGGATTTGAGGTGTAGTTCGTAATTTTATATAATTCATGTAAAAAATGGATCCGATTCCACATAAAAATCTAACATGTGGTTCGTGTAGCATTGTTATTTATATTTACTCGATTCTTTGTACTTCTATGTATTCAGTACGATTGTTGGTTGTGATCTTTTAGGCATGAAGTTTACACATGGAAGGCAACTCCATTGAACTGCTTGATACATCAATAGGAGACTTCAGTAATCCACATGTTGTTTTGCGGTCGATCCATGTCTCTTTTATGTGTGCAGCGAAATATTGTCAATTTGATAATATTTCATTACCTGATGTTGAGTGGTGAAAGTGCATTGCCTCAACGTCAAAAACCTGGTTTTTATAGTGAAAGGGATCTAGAGGACCTCAAAGTTGATCCTTGTGCAAACGAGGCTAGGGCATTTTCAGCTAATGAAAGTCACTTTTACAGTACTCGAGTTTGAAGTTTGAATTAGAGAGATTAAATGGTTATCGTTGTACCAACAGCATGAAAGCAACTGAGGCAATTGACAGCAAAGGAAACAAGGTTGCAAAAAAAACCACCACAATCAGCAGCCAAGAACAACCCAAAGCAGAACAAAAAACAAACAGGAAACAGAGAGACTCTAAGAGAGAAAAAATTGGACAA